CACATCATGAAGAGTGCACCCCAACTTTTTGTTTTCCTTAGGTCAAATGTGAGGTCACCAGAGGCCACGAAAGAAAAAGAGGTCGTGCTGACATATGCAGTTAAAAGGTGTGTTGGCACGTTAAGACGGATGTTGAGGCACAGAAATAATCCTTACGATAGTGGTGAGTCCGTTTTTACCAGTTCTGTTCCCCACAAAGGCCAAATCAGGTCAAGTCACCGTCCAAAATTGGTTTATCAGAAGCCTACAAAAATGATTGTTTTTGGTTTCCTTTCACAATGTTATTTTGACTAAGTGTAAGTGTTATTTTGCCCCTGTGTGTCCCTGACAGATACAGGGGCTCCGACCAGTGTAAATCACTGGCTCCGGCTTTGTCCCTGCTTGGGAAACGGGCCCTCAGGCCCATGCCGACAAGGAGCCTACTGTGCGTTACGGTGGTGTCTGACTGACATATGAGCCCTTATTGATTCTAGGGCCCCTGGTTAGCGCGCAGAGCCCTCTGTTTGGCATTTAAGTGCCCGGTTCCGCGGACCGGGGCCCCTTAATGCGACCTCCGGCGTGCCTTTCGGACTCCTCAGGCGCTCTAATAGAGTCCTTAATTATAAGTTCCGAGAGGTCCTTCGGGCCCCTCAGAACCTGAGGAGAGGGACACTTGCCCCCATGTACCCCCTGGCTGTGTCATTGCCTTCTGACATATCCTGGTTGATATCTGAACATAAGAACCCCAAAATCATAATCGGGGGGGGGGGGGGGGCAATTTGACGAAGCATAACCTGAGCGTGACCAGGGGAGGGAGGGATGGAGAAGGTAACGCTACGTTCTGGTGTGTAACGCTGTGGTTGCAAGTCATGCCATGATTTTTTATACGTTTTAAGCCGTAATGAATGGAACCGCTGGCTTCCTATTTATAAAACACACCGAGATCAATAACGGGTGCGTTGCTTCCGACCAACGCGTCCGGTAGTGCTCTCCACGCCAAACACAGCGTACGCAAAGGGGAAAGGGTATTCATCCAACGCAACCAGTATGTAGCTGCGACAGAGCAGGAGGCTGAAATGGCCAAACATCCGTCGCTTAGTTAATGAATGTCCGGCCAGAAAGGAACGAACCACTCTCGTGCTAATCCCGTTGAAGCAGCTTCAGCACTCTCCACAAATCCCGGCTGTCATAGGAGTGTAGCTTTGGTAAATGATTGTGTAGGGGGGGGGGGGACGGAGCAGCCGGGGACCAGGCAACCTAACCTTCCGCTGAAAATTAGTGCTCTTATCAGTCTTAACGCTCTTTCTTTTAACCTATAGCAATTCTATGTTTTGATTTTTGAGTCATTCTTGGAAAAGTCCTCTATTGGAGCACTATTATAGTCGTGGCAAGCAAATAATGTTTGGAAAAGGCAGCCATTGAACGTTATTTCAATTTTTGTACCATGCTTAACAGGACAACTCACCATCAGCGACCAGGGCCCTCGCAACAGGATACAGATCGGTACCCATTGTGCGTCAACTTCTGTGTTCATCTTGGTTGAACCGGACATCTTTCCTCATATGAATATGCGCTGGCAAATAGAAGTTCTGGGTAATGCTAATATATGCAAAAACTCGCTGGGAAAACTTATAGAATATACACCATAGTCCTAACCGTCGTAGCTGCGACTTGCGCTCATGCAAGCGTATGCATTTTCCATAACCAAGGGATTCGTCCGGTGTTGGGGATTGAGAAATAATCTGATTCGGTTTCCTACATGCACCACCATAGCCATATCGATAAATACGTATCAATGCTTTGACATCGCAGCCCCAATCATCTCCTCATGAAAATACCACGCCCACGCGCGCCAACGCTTTTTCCTTTGTGTTTAGGAAGTAGTCGGATCCGGGGCCTCTTAAAACAGACCGGTTTTACGTCATGCCTAAAATTGGCCTCAGCTGTGAAATAAAGGGGCATTGGTAACGCAATTATGGGGCATATATTTCTAAATAGCAACGCTGCTAAACCAGAGCTGCAATGTGACATTACAGCGTAAGGTTCTAAACTTCATTGTTTCAACTTCTAGTTAATTTGTAACTTTTTAACTTGTTTTAACTTTTAACATGTTCTTTACTTCATTTCGGGATTACGGTAAATTAGCTGCCTATTTCTATCAAGCCTCCTTCTTTTCTATCGTTCTTGAGAATGTAAACAATTTGAAACCGCCAGTTTGGAAGCAAAGTGGCGCGGTGGTTTTCATCACGCAGCAACCGTACAACATTGGTGGAATGTGATGCATTAGTGAGCCAGTGCTGTTCGGCTCCCGTACAGTAATCCCACAACAGTTTGAAAGATTTCAGGAGCGACGTCAGTTACTTATTCTCGTGCTGCTGTAAAAACGTGCTCAAACAGTTGGGAACGTGCTGCTTCCTGAATTCTGTGAACACTGGTTTTCATCGGACGTGCCTGGTAAGTTACCAGAGGCATGTAAATGGGCTGCTAGCAACCATGGCTGAAAAGCGCTAGTATGGGTTTGATACTGTCACTGAAAATCAGCACATCAGAGCGTGGTACTGATGTTCTTGCCTGGCATCCATTGGCATGCATGAGAGTTTGACAAAAGCATCACGTGGTCACTGCTTAATAGCATTGTGAAAGACTAAAGAATGTGAAGCAGAAGTGGAAAATGAGCTGAAGAGGCTGCCTTAGGCTGTTTTTTCTCTGAGCTGCTTGGAAAAGGAGTTTCCATGCCCCAGCCAGCCTACAAAATAAAATGAGGTACTCCAAATGTTTCTGCATGTTTCTGTCTCAAGGAATTATGATGTTGGAGAGGTTGTTTCAGGCCAAATTGTACAATTTAGCCTGACCTGAGCTTACTGCATGGGAGCACAAGGTTGTGTGCACCAATGCCACATGGGCGTCATGCATGTTTTTTTGCACTTTGTGGTGTCATGGTGCCCCCATGTTTGTTTTTGTTTTTGCAAATAACAAACCAATGGTCCATATTAATATGGTGGTGGTTGGGAAGATTCAACTCAAGATTTGGTTTTGGTTTCCTTCTTTCTGAGATGTTCTTTTGCCAATGCTTGTTATGCTATGGAAAACTGAGCTGTAAGCAGTAATGTGTTAAGTGCTTAGGTTTAATCATATTTTCTACATGGTTATGTAATTATAATTATCAAATAGAAAAATGCCATAATGTAATGTAAATTAGCTCCAGTGCATCAAGTGGCAAAGTTCCAAAGAATTAACATTGTTGATTGTGAGCAAAAATGTTTGTAACATGACTTGGAATATTACTTTTGGACAAAGTTATTAGTCACATTATCAGGTAGAGTGCATGCACATGCCAAAATTGTCATGTTGATACACCACTTTTTTGCTGAAAAGTTTGCTTTGTTCTAAGCCATGCAATAATTGTCAGTTACAATTTCCTTCTGCCTTTTGCACATTCCATTCTTCAAACTGTGAGTCTCTGACATCATCTCATTTTGAAATAATGAAAAATGGTATGTTGCGAACAGAAAAATGCCAAAGAACAGGATATATCACCTGCTTGACTTGCAAAGCTATTGCATTATTTTCAGGGGGGTTCAAGCTTTATCACTTTATGTCAGTGTGTCCAGTGTCAACACTGTGACTGCCATGTAATCCCACTTGTGCTCAGTTTTGAGCAATCACAGAGTGAGAGGCATCTTATTTCACATTTTGAAACCTAAGCTTGTTTCAGCAATGATAGTGCCCTACATGATAGGGCAGTAGGGATTGATCATACTAGCCAAAAATCAGCCCTTGTAGCATGCCATATATAAATGATTGATGAGCTCTACTCATGTGCACACCATACAGCCCATGATTTACCACCTGTGCTTACCACTTTTCACTGATCTGAAGGAATTTGTGTGGATATGTTAGCACATCATCAACCATTCAGCTCAGTTGTCTATGCTGGAGGGCTGGATTGAGTGACCACATGTGACCCATCTCCAGGTGGCTGGCGGTTGCCAGGAGTTGGGTGAGCGCCGGCCGCCACCCGCCGGTGCGCAGCCGTCCCCGAGCCGATGGGGGCCGACGTGGTGTCGGCGCCGCCGCGGCGCAGCGTGCTCTTCACCTCGCCAGCCATGCGGCGCAGCCTGGCGGCGGCCGAGACGGCCAAGACGCCGCCGGGCTCGCGCCGCGCCAGCCACGCCGCCGCCGGCCAGCCCGAGCCGTTCGACATCCCGCAGGTACGGAGCGGACGCGCGCCGCGCCGGGGGCGCACCAGCGCGCGGTGTGGCGTGAGTTGCGGCGTCCCCCGCGGCCACCGGCGGCTGGCATCGGCGGCTGGTGACAGCTCGCGCGAGGTGGCGCGCTCAGCCCGCCGGCGGTGCGCGTCCGCCGGTGCCGCCGCGGTCGGTCGGGGATGCTCTCGGTGCACGCCGAGACACGCGGGCCACGCTCAGCCTGGCGGGGGATGGGTTGGATCGTCATACGGCGTAGCGGGGAGTGGCTGCCCGCGGATTGGACCCGAACTCACCGATGCGCTTCTCGGACGCCCAGAGAAAATGATGACGTTTGTATCGACCCGTTCCGGGCATGGACAATCTGGGTCGGTACGCCGCTGCTTCTCAAGTGGTCGGGATTGGCGACAAAATGACATTCAAGTCTGCTTCAGTCATTATCTGCAATCCAATGTGTGCGATTCATGTCCGCATCTCAGGCATTGGTTTCCGGCCTGATTCGGCCTTGGCTGACCCTTGCTATAGCGCAGTTGGATGGACACAGATAGGGCGGATAGGTGACAATTGCCTGGCCAGCGTACCGTTGAGTGATTAAAGGAGAACTTTCCGCATGCTGGTTACATTACGGCACGTGTTCAATCGTATTTCGCACCATGCCGGTCAGCTGGAACGATAGTTGACCTCTGACAGCCGATCTCTGACCTCTTGTGGCTGACCTCTGACAGCCGACCGCTGATCTCTGACCACTGACCTGAGTCCGCCGGCCGGCAGCTGGATGACGAGGCGGAGCGTGAGCTGCAGCGGCAGCAGGCGGCGCAGGCCACGGAGCGGCGCCGCTCGCTGCCGGCCATCGCCGGTCTCAGCCACGGCCAGCTGGCCGCGCACTACTCCAACTGCATCAAGCTCAGCGCCGAGAACAAGATCAGCGCCAAGAACGCCTTCAGCCTGCAGCTGATCGACTGCATGGCGCAGATGCTGCGGCAGAAGAAGTCGGACCTCGACAACTTCCAGGTGAGGGGGAGGGGGGGGGGGGGGGGGGGCGGGCGGGCGCCGTGACAGCGCCGTCTGAACGGTCGGCTGGCGTCTTCTGTCAGCATTTGGCCGGGTCGTTGGGGGCTGCGTGGTGCCGCGTACGCTGTCTCTGCGAGCTGGTGTGAGACAGTCGTGTATCCGTGGACCGACTTGTCTTTTGCTTTCGTGACATGATCTTTTGTACTATGACCTGACTAGGATCATGTACTGCGGCCTGATCAGATTGTCACATCGTGACCTGACCAGACTGTCACACCGTGACCTGACCAGACTCCCGCGTCGTGACATGGCCCGACTTCCACACTGTGACCTGATCAGACTCTCACCCCTTGACCTGAGCAGATTCCCACACCATGACCTGACCAGACTCCACCATCTTGACTTAACTGTACTCCATCACAGTGACCTGACCTAAACCAGACTTCCACACCATGACCTGAGAAGGACTTTCAACGCGACCTGACCGGACTCCCACACCGCGACCCTGACCAGACTCCCCCACCTTTACCTGACCAGACTCCCCACACCGCGACCTGACCAGACTCCCCCACTGTGACCTGACCAGACTTCCCAACTGTGACCTGGCCAGGCTCCCACACCGCGACCTGACCAGACTCCTATACTGTGACCTGACCAGACTCCCACACTGTGACCTGATCAGACTCCCACACCGCGACCTGACCAGACTCCCACACTGTGACCTGACCAGACTCCCTCACCGCGACTCGGCGGGCTGACCGGCGCCGCCTGCCACAGGTGGCCAGCTACACCTTGGACGCCTCGGCCAAGATTTACGGCTACCGGGTGGAGGTGCTGCACGGCGAGACGCTACGCATGGCCGGCGGCCTGGGCCGCGCCGACAACAAACAGAAGACCGCCGAGGAGGGCGAGCCGGCCGACGGCGACCAGCCGGAGCCGGGCGGCGCCGACAAACGGCGCAGGAAGGTACGGCCGGATGGCGCGCCGCCGCCGGCGCAGTGGTGCTGCCCGGCGGACGAGCGAGGGCGCCGAACGACGCGTGGGGCTTCATGGGGCGTGTGATGTGAGCTGTTGAGGCGCATCGCTGGCGTGTTCGTGGGGATAGTTTGTCATCCTCAGTTGTGCTTTTGCTACGCGGTGCGTCGGTCTTTTCCAGCTTTTAGGCTGTCAGGCCGCGTTTGTAAAGATGTTCGTAGCAGAAGAGGAGAGATGGGGATCACCCGTCTGAAATGGGCATGTCATAGCAAGCTGTACTTCGACAAAACACCTTATTAACCCCCATTTCGGCAAGGTAACCCAACTTTATTAATCGTTTTATCGTGTTATGCTTTGCCCGCTGTGACGACTGCCCGCGTCTGTGTCGTCGGCTCGGTCGTGACGCCGCGCTGTGTCCGCGCCAGGCTCGCCGCCACGCCACTGTCGAACGCAACCTGGCCAACATCACGGCACGCGCCAGCGGCGGCGACGCAGCGCCGGCCGACCCGCTGCTGGCCCGGCTGCTGCGCGTGTCGGCCGACGAGGGCCCGCGCCGGCGGTTGCCGCCTTCTTGGGCGCGCTGCCGCCGCGCGACGACACCCAGGAGCTGCTGGTGGAGGTCGGTGCCGCGACCGAGGCCGGCCCGCCACCGCCGGAGGAGCGCGAGGAGGAGCATGACGCGCGGCCGGACCTGGCGCCGCCCGGTCAGTTCAGATGGGCAGCGTACGGGGCCGGACCGGGACAGGACCAGAGCGGGACCGGGACCAGACCGGGACGTGGACCGGGACGGGGACCGGAACCGGAACGGGTACAGGGACTCGCCAGCCGGGTCAGATGTCCTAGCTGTATGCGTTAGACGCAGTTGTGGTAGTTTGTGATGTCGCATATATATATATTTTTTTTATTGCTTTGCGGGACAGTTTCACCACCGTGACACTACTGCATTCATTCGACCGTTTTTGACGTTCATCGCGTCAGTCTTCCGCGGATGCGTGCTCGCGCTGCAGTGCACACATGCGCCGTGACCTTAGAGTATGCTGACCTGGCATTGGGGGTCCGGCGACATGTCTCCCGCTACAGTTCTGTCCCTCGAGCGATGTACTCGCGGGGAAGCAAAACAGCGACACTGGCTGCAGGGCGGTCAGTAGTACTCCCCTTCAAGACAGCTTTTGTGTAGAGCTGTGAGCTGAGCGAGGTCGTGGGGACAGCAGGGACAGTCACCAGGATATTCCCGGCCATTACATGATTAACGCCTGAAATAGTCGAAATACTGGGATCTGGTGCAATCTGCGTAACGGACTACGTAGAAAAGTGGTACGTAGTGAGGAACAACAGAGCATAGACGCCTGAAATAGTCGAAATACTGGGATCTGGTGCAATCTGCGTAACGGACTACGTAGAAAAGTGGTACGTAGTGAGGAACAACAGAGCAAGCGAACGACGGCGGCCTAACTGCCAAACACGCCAGCTATCACTGGGTGATACGTTTTTAAAGTGACACCATAAACGGTATGGCGCAGCGTACCAGGTCTTCCTTTCCAGCAAGCATTTGGCTTGCAGCTTGTGTAAAAAAGCTGGGATGGCCATGTCCAGGATGTCCCATGTAACGGGGTTTTATTATTTGTATATGCTTTTAGGTTGCACACCCAGTTGGCATCCTGTCGCTAATCCGCGCACTCTGCCTACAGTCGGCTGGCTGTTGGTCTGTATTTCTCCCCAAGCTAGCGCCTCCACGCGCCAAACTAGGCGGGCGTCTGCTGACGCCCAGACGTCTGCCCCCGGCGGTGCGGCGCGGCGGGGGACCAGACGTCTGAGCGTTGTCTGACCGCCGATCCGTCCGGCCAGAGCTCGCGGCGGCCGGCTGCTGTGCGGCGCCTGCTGCAGGGCTTCTCCTCTCCGGCTTGGAGTCTGGCGGACGAGCGGGACGGTCAGCGCTCCGAGGAGGCCGGAGCCGACCTGCCGCCGCCGCCGCCGGCGCCGCCCGCCGACCTGCGGCACAGGTGAGACGGCTGGGGACGGCCGGAGAGGCCCGGCGGCCGGCTGGGCACACGGACACGGGAGATACAGGCCAGGCGAGACACAGACCGGACGAGACACAGAGCAGGCGGGACAGACCAGCGAGACATGGACACGGGAGACACAGACCAGGCGAGATACAGGCGAGATGAGACACAGACCAGCGAGACACAGGAGAGATGAGACACAGACCAGGCGAGACGCAGACAGGCGAGACACGAGACATGAGGCGAGACACAGACCAGGCGAGACACAGGCGAGATGAGACACAGACCAGGCGAGACGCAGATCAGGCGAGGCACAGACCAGGCGAGACATGGACACGGGAGACACAGACCATGCGAGACAGACCAGTCGAGACACGAGCAGGCGGGATACGGACAGGCGAGACATGGACACGGGAGACACAGACCAGGCGAGACACAGGCCAGCGAGACATGGACACGGGAGACACAGACCAGGCGAGACACAGACCAGATGAGACACAGACCAGGCGAGGCAAAGATCAGACGAGATACAGACAGGCGAGAAGCAGACGCGCAGCACCTATGGGGTTGCTCTATGCAGCAGGTGTCCGGGTCAGCATGCACAGTGGAGGCGTGCAGATTAGGACGTGGCAGTACCAGGCGGGCGCTAGCTAGAACCGGCCGCGGTGTGTGCCGAATCAGACACGGGTACAGGGGCACCCAAGGCCAGGCCCGGGCGTGCGGTGTGCCGAAGGTGGAGCTGTGTTTCGGCGGGGTCGCCGGTACCCGCGCGGTAGCGAGGGACGCCCTCGCTTTGCCCCGGAGCTGGCGCGTCGCCTGACGCCTGCCGTGCGCCGCCGGCAGGTTCGACATCAACGCGGTCCACAGCGTCATCATGAGGACGGCTGATGACGAGTTCGGCGGTGAGTGAGGCGCCGGCGCGGGTCCGCCGGGACAGCCGCGCCTCCCGCCAATTTGTCCGGGCGGTGTCGCGGCGTGGATGGCGCGGCGCCGGAAATGACGAGGCTGGTGTCGGGTAAAGTGGACAAGCGCAGGGATGAGTGGGGCGACCCGTTCGTTGTCTGGGTGATGATCGCCGCAGTTAAAACATATCCCCTCGGTGGCTCAATTTGGGCATGCAGTGGCGGCGCCAGAAGGTCGAAATTATCGTGTTGTGCATTCCTGCCGTGAACAAAATGTCCGCCCTGCGGGTCATTCGCGCAGGTGTGAGTTTGATATGCACATCTCTCCCTCGACTCGAATAACGCCAAGCTGCGTGTAATGGTTTGAACTCGGCGTTTCCGACGGTCAATCTACTTCACTTAAACCTGTTAGGGAACTGTTTACGCATGAGAACTCTCGTTCTGTTCGCAGCACACTTGCGCGCTGTAACCTAATTGCTCAGAGCTGATCTGTTTTGCATGCAGTTGGTTACAAGCCCATGGAGGAGTAAGGAAATGGTCGGGGCAGGTTATCGGAGCTGTAGCTTTCCCCAAAACCCGTGGGAATAATTTTCCTCAAAAGCATGCGTTTATGCATCCGGCGCGAAATGACCCCACCAGTTGACGTGTCGGACACTCCCGTAATCAATAATCAGTCACTGTGGTAAACGCTGTCTGGTTAGTACAGCGCTGAGGACTTGCGACTCTTCGCGCGCGTGTTGACGCTTTCTCTGGCGAGCGGCTGCATACTCGGGTGTCGTCTTCTGCCGCGCCGCTCCGCCGTCGAGTGTAACAGCGGTGTGTAGCCTCAAACCAGACGCGTTGTGACGAGCTCCTCGGTCGCGAACCCCGCCCGCGGACGCAGGGAAAAGCGACGAGATGGGGCTGTTGTCCCGTGGTCGCCTCCGCCGGCTGCGAGTCCGTGGCGGCCAGACCCGCCCGCGACGCAGGGAAAGCGGACGAGATGGGGCTGTTGTCCCGTGTGTCGCCTCCGCCGGCGCGAGTCCGTGGCGGCAGACGCCAACCCGCCGGTGCCATTGCCGGCCACTGCTCGCGCGTGTGCCGCTCGGGCGCGGCGGTGCCTCGCGCCGGGGGCTGGCAGATGGCTCTGCGCGAACATATATTGGCACCATTAGCAGCGTACCGTTCGCAATCAATAGGTGCTTGGCGCCGGCCCTGCCGTGACGAATGTGGCGCCGGCCGGCCGCGGTGCGGCCCGCCATTCACGCGCGCGCCGCGGCCGGCTGGCCATTGGCGAGTGCCAATATGCGGCGCTTTGTACCGACCCCATTCGGAAATCCGGCACGCCAGGGGCGGGGCGCGCGGGGAAAGGAAGTATGCTGGCGTGCGGAGGGGTAGCGATTGCGGCAGGAGGCGGCGACCTTTGGCGCGTTGTGTTCGGATGGCCTGCGCACGGCGCGGTCGTGTTCATGGCTTGTGTTGTCTGACCCGCTTTGTGAGTGCTGCGGTGTAGCCGATCCTGACGGGCCAGGCTCCTTTATGGTGCGTTGGCGTGCCGTGCGCCTTGGCCCACGGACTTGGAGTGGGCGGAAGAGGCATTGTGTCGAGGGCTTGCGTTTCGTCATCGGAAAGTCCATTGACCGGGTCCCGACCGCCGTATGCTTCTTCGGCCTTGGAAAATCACAGCCAGCGGGAGATTTGCGCGACAGCTGGCGGCCCTGCCAATTGCACACGTCTGTGTTCACCATCCCGCTGTCTTGCAACCCGCCTGCCGCGCGGTGGCGTGCTGTGCGCCCGTGTGTGCCGTCCCCCGTCCGCGGCGACCGTCCGGCGCGCCCGCCGTCACCGCTCTTCTGCCGGCAGCGATGGACGACGCGTGCGACGACGACGAGGCGGCGGCCGGAGACGGCGGCGTCACGCTGGGGGCGGCCGGCTGCCGGCCGGCCGGCGCCTCCGCCGCCCTGCTCAGCATGGTGTCGGCCGTGCCGCAGGAGTACTCGTACTTCGACCAGCCGCCTGCTGGCTGGGCCGGGCCCCGGCACTGGAAGCTGCGTCCGCTGACAGCAGGTCAGCCGCGGGGTCAGGGTCAGCCGCGGGGTCAGCCGCGGGGTCAGCCGCGGGGTCCCGCGGGGTCGCCGCGGGGTCAGCCGCGGGGTCAGCCGCGGGTCAGCCGCGGGGTCGGCCGCGGGGTCGGCCGCGGGGTCAGCGCGGGGTCAGCCGCGGGGTCAGCCGCGGGGTCAGCGGGGTCAGCTGCGGGGTCAGCCGCGGGTCAGCCGCCTGCCCCGGCGCCCTGTCGCCACCGGGCCGGTGCGCGCAGAAGTCAGAGGACCGTCGCGCAGTTGGTCGCCGTTTTGTGTGTGTAGGGTTCTGAGCTGCGACAGTGAATGGTCAAGGGATGGGGCGCATGAACGGATATCCCCCCCCCCCTCCCTCGCCCTCCCTTGTAAAGAGACGCGCTTGACGACGTTCGCACCAGCATCACTTGAAAAGCGCCTGTAACCGGCTCCTTGTGGGGTGTTGTCTTGAACAGCCAGGACAGTTCTGAAATGTCTGTTGTGTGGCGTCACGGTGACCCCCGGCTGACCCCCCCCACCCGTCCCCAGCGTCGGGCGGCACAGCCGGCATTAGCAGCCGCAGGCAGAATTAGTGAAGTGTGCCCGTCAGGTGTTACCAGTCCGAACGGATCAGCAGAAACTGTTACTTTCGGTGGCCAATAAGTGTAGAAAGCAACAAGAACTCAAGCGCTGTAAAAATATTATTTAACGTCCATGCACGGATAAGGTTAACGTGAACAACCCCCGCACAATCAGACGTTGTAGACATACGCATGGAACAGGCGTCTGCATCGGCTGGGAAGACTGTCACATCGTAAAGCGCGTCAGCTGACTGGTGACCCCTCGGTTACGACAATCACGAGACAATGAGCACACAAGTCCGGTGTCCAGCAAAACAGACGCATTCTACAGGAATTGTCCGCTTATATGGTCTGGCCTATCAGTGTCAGATACCCTGTCGTACTGCACGTCCCCGCCTGTTGGTAATGCAAAGGTGTTCGCCATGTGATTTAAAATGCGGCGTAAATGCATGATAACGCGGCAAGTGTGAGCCCAAGACAAGCGTAACGTTATTGTTAAAACTAGACTAGTCGTTATTCAACGGCGTTATTTTTACTTACCAGCTCAGCAACCGACTAATTGTCAAGTGTCTGCTTACAGACTCATCAGGTCAAATGCACCTCGCAAGTGTAACAGCGCGGCATCAGCGTTGATTACGGCTTTATCGTATTTACATCATTACAAAATGTCGAGCGTCCACTATAGCGCCCACCGCCTGGACTAGATTCCATAGTGCTCAATGTCGTTCAAGGCGGCCTCCGTGCGTGCGTCCATGCTTACTAGCTGATGGGTAATGATGCCGCGCGTCTGAGTGACAGCACTTTACCCCTGACGGCAGGGGCAGTCATCGCCATATCGCCTGTCACCGTTGGTCCTGGACACGGGTCCAGATGCTAATTACGTGCCAGTTGTAGCAAATACACCGCGTGCTTCCATCCGCCGTCGGCGCGAAGCGCTGTTCACATCGCCATTTTTGGCATTGCTTAATTGGATAGGGAACATCGTAACTACAATATGATGATATGCTTGATGAAGTAAGGAAGAGTATGGTTTTCTGAGCTTTTGCTGGTTTGCGCCAGTTTTAACCGGCACGAACCTGAACGCGTCAAAGATGGTGTTTTAGCCGGGTGACGAGCCAACGCTGGCCGTGATCCACTTTACCCGGTCCCTGCCCTGTCCCGTCCGTGCCCAAGTCTCGGTTCTTGCCCTGCCCCCGCCCAGCGCAGGTCTCGGTTCCTGCCCTGTTCCGTCCCTCGGTCCCTGCCCTGCCCTGGCCCTGCCCAGGTATCTGTCCCTGCCCTGCCCCGGCCCTGCCCAGGTATCTGTCCCTGCCCTGCCCCGTCCCTGGCCAGGTCTGGGGTCTTGCCCACGCCCCGCCAGCCGGTCGGCTGACGCGCCCCTTCCGCCCGGCAGGCCGCCAGGGGCCGGCGCCGGACGCCGCCAAGCCGCGCCGCAAGCGGGATACCGAGGCCATCGACTTCGCCGAGGAGTGCGACTGGGCCGACGCCTTCGCGCCGTCCAAAAAGTCCATCAAGCTAAAGCCGGCCACCATGAAGAAGTGGAACGAGGAGAAGACCACGCTCCCCGAGGACCTTCACTACGACATCGCCGCCGTGTTCAAGTGGGTCGCCGAGCCGAGCCGCGGGCGGCGTCAGGCCGCCGTCGCGGATGTGCCGGCAATAAGGCGGCGTCGACGGTCGACGGCGCCCGGCAGGGTCCCGCCGGCGCGCGGCTGGCGCCGCTGCCGAGTTGTGCGGCGCCCTGGCGTGCCGTCGCGCGGCGGCGCCGCGGGCCGCCAACACCCGTGTAAACAATGCCGGCCGCCTGCTAAAAGCGGGCTGCGGTCAGCCGGAGCTTGCCGACTTTGTTCATCAGCGGCCACCGCCGGCTGGGGGGTCTTCGGGAGGCCGGCCGGCGGCGCGCCTCCCGCCGGGATGCGCGCGCCACCAACCGCAGGGCGCCGCCGCCAGGAGCGCGGCGGCGCAGGCTGGTCCGGACGTCCGGCACAGTTAACTGCGCCTAAAAATGGACCCTCTGGCTGATGATTTTTCAACGTCATGTAGATTTCTTCCTGGGTAACGTGAGGAGGATTGTGTGCCCGCTTAGGAAGAGGAGAGCGTTAGTTGTCATAACTGATAAGGTGTCGTCAAAAAGCGTTGTGCGAAGCCGGAATGTTAATCATAAATATTTTAGTTGAAACCAGTAATTAAATTTTGATATTTCGAAAGCATCGTTCGCAAAAGTGGTGGCTCAATTGTATGATATTTTATATAGCGTCAATTCTTTCATACGGCCAACTTTCGCCTTTTCTCACATGTATCTGCCAAAGGCTTTTTCTATGTGTGATCACACGAGCTGCGCAACTTTTCAGTGCCTCGCGACGGCAGCCAGGTTTTGAATCGATGTGAACAGCCGTACTTGCTGGCTTGAATAGCAGGCACTGGAGCTCACATAAAGCACTTACCTTGATCTCTTTCGGCGACTCAGCCGTTCTAATCATGGACCAGACCTTCCGCATATTGCAACCTCCACCTTATAGCGATGCGGGCCATTGGGTAACGTTTGAGAGCCGTCTCGCGTCAGTTGGGCAGGGGCCGAGACGGTTCGCTGCCGCGGGCGAATACCTCTGAAAGGAAGTGAAACTGACATCAAGCGGTGTCCAGATGTTTTATTACCAATTGGTTTCTGTAAAATGAAGCTTTAAATTGCCGCTGTTTTTTTTTAGAATATTTTTAGAGTACCTTTGAAGTCGTTCAACCAATATGTCCTCCGCAGAACTCTTCGTATGGCCTTTTGCACTATCCGACCCGGCTATTTACGATAAAAATGTGATGACGGGTGCCGGTGACAGGTGTAAATGTTGCCGACATCACTTAAGTGTGCTAGACAACTGACAATTTATAAGGCTTGCGTAATGGTTTGCTGACAGCTTAGCCGTGTGTTCCGGGAACCCGGACCGAAAACACGAGGTGTACCGGTGCCGGATGAGAGGAGGCCGATTGCATGCCTTTGTGTCTGTGGAGACGCGAGTCCGCGTACCCCGCGGAGCTCTGTCGGTCCGTGTCCTCGGTGGCGGCCGTCGGCGTGCCCTGTCGCCGCGGCCGACCTGAACGGCCCGGCCTGCTCGGGGCGCACCTTCTGGGCCGGCCCCGTGCGCTCCGATCGTGTGACGAGAGCAACCGCGACAGACCATCCATCGGCGCGTTAACAATGCAGCGGAGCAGGCGCCCCTCCCCCCCCCCCCCCCCCCTCCCGGTCCAGGCCGCGGCCGCGCCGAGTGCGCTTGTCGCGTGCACACTCCCGGTCCAGGAGGGATGCGCGGTCTCGACCGACAGCTGAAATGTGGGATGTGATCCATTTTCTCTCTTTCCAACCAGAGGTACGGGGTTCGATTCCCCGCGGTGCCCGCCCTTCCTGCCAGAGTGAGAGGCAGGTGACGCCATATAGCCTCAGCAGCTGAGTGCGTCGTAAGCCCCAATGACACACGCAATCCAGTTTCTGGAGAACGGTCGCTGACCTGTAAGCTCCAGGGTGATGACCTGTGTGGCTGGGTGGTGTGCATTTCCGGAATTCGTTGGTTGGGCGTCGTTGCAGGTGTTTGATGGCCGCGTGTCTGACTTCAGGGCGACGATGCTGCTCTCGGTCCGCGTTCTCCCTCAGGTTCAGTTCTAAACCAGAGACCTATCTGATTTCCTGACAAAGTTTCTTGTTAGATTGCAGGGATTCGGAATCCGTCCAACATGAGGCCAATGTGATCGGTGTTGCTGGAGAGCTTAAGCTCTAAGCTACCTTAGAACATTCCCTTAATAGCA